TCAAAAAGCAATATAGAAATGACCCATCAAAACTTTGATGGTGCAAAATAAATATAAACAACTTTGCACAGCTTCAGATTACCTTACGCCAATCCACTAGATCAACTAGTTCTCTGTCCATGGTTTCTTCAGCAGCATTGTGTAAAATCCTCTCCCTTTCGATTTCAGTTGGACTTTGAAGATGGAATATTCTATCCATACGACCTGGCCTTCTTAATGCCTCATCAATTTGCTTATGATTTCGTGTTGTAGCCATCAAAACTACACCATCCTGTTTCTCAAAGCTGCATAAATAGAAATTATAAATTGGAATGAGATCGGAAAAGTCAACTAGAAAAAGGAGAAGCTACTTGGGTTTCCAATGCATCAGTTCTTATTGCATTAAAGGCAATGCTTTGAGAAACTGCTATGAATGCTACAAATCTGGTCTTAATTTTAAATCAGCAAAGAAATTGGCTTTTACCCATCAAGTTCAACAAGAAGCTGATTAATAAAAGATTCATGATCTTGCTGCTTTGTATGTACAAACTTCCCACGTACACCAGCAAAGAGGTCAAAATCCTCCACAAATATGATTACAGGTGCCTAATCATCACAGTAAACATCAGAACATAAGATGACATCAAAATTGATGTTACGTAAGAAATGTTGAATCAGCAAAACAATTGTGGGAAAAGCAGCTAACCAAGTCTCTTGCAGTTTGAAAGAGTTCCCTGACATTTGCTGCACTCTGACCAACCCATAGTCCAGCCTCCAACTCTTGAGCTTCAACATTGACAACAGGCACTCTTGCTTCTGCTGCAATAGCGAGCGCCAAAGACGTCTTCCCCGTTCCTCTCTCGCCCACAATAAGAACTCCCTGCAATGTAAAAAAGCACTTCCTAGGAATTAACGCTGCTCACAATTAGACACTGTCCTACACAATAACCACACAAGTGTAAAGCAACTTACCCGTGGTGCACGGGCACCCATCTCCTGAAATGCCTTTGGATTCTGTAAAAAGGCCACAACCTCGTTGATTTCTTCTCTCATAGACTCAATACTAGCAAAGTTTTTCAATGGGATTGGTGGATTTTTCACTCTCTTCATTCTGTCAAACGCAGTTTTTATGGGGTCGATTCCAGCCTTTCTCTTTTGTTTGATTCTCCTTCTTCTAAAAGTAAAATATGATTTCTGCAAAACAAATAAAGTGTATTGGGATAATCAGCTGTAACTGTAAGGAATCTGAATGATCAACAAACATAATCCGTGTAATACTAGCTACAATACTATACTGCTCACTAAAAACTGAAAGTTTGAAAGAGAAGCATAGGAAAAAGGAAAGTTGCATACCACTCTCCAGAATTTCCGCACATTTGGATCTCGACGGAAGGGTCCATAGCCAAGAAGCCTTGGAACCTTTCTTTTCAGAAAGCGGAAAACATGATACAAAACATACCCATATATGTAGCTTCGTATTAGAAACCACAGGAACCACTTAAAATCTTCTGTATTGCGAGACATGAAGTTCAATTCTGCCTCAGACTGCCATTGCAAGTACCATGTAGAACCAACAGCCTGATCTATTTCTTCTGGCCAAGCCATTCCCAGACGCAGCCTTAACTGTGGCAGAAATTTTTAAATAAATAAAAATATACTCAGGGAAACAGGAGGAAAATATCCAGAGAGAGTAAAGTATTACCTGATAAGGAATGATAAACTCGAGAGCTGGAAACACGACCGCCATCATAATGTCATCATTTAGATTCCTTATTCTCTCTAATAAAGTATCTTTCACAGTTGATACCACTTGATTTTTCCCCAATGCAGTAAAGGCTCGAGATACCACCCTTGTAACCAACAGAAACTGTTGCTGAAGACTTAGCTCTGACATGGGTATCCACATCAGATGAACAGAAGTTGGGATTCCACAAGCAATCATTTTGAGGTATAGAGCATCAAACCCTCCAAATTTCTCAAATTGCATTTCATATTCCTACAACCATAGAAAAGAGTTAGAAACCTAAAACTGGAAAATCATCAAATAAATTAGGACTTTAATTGGTCAACCTTGAGGTCAACGTAATACTCCTTGTCGTCTCCTTTTAGTGCAACATACATTACAGCATAATCATGCCTAATCCTGGCACTGTCAATCAGTTTCCTGGAAACTGCATATGGAACAGCCAAAGGGTCCATCTCCCACCTATCTTTGTCTTCATTATACCAAGTCTTTGAAACAACTCTATCTCGATCCAGGAGAACTTGTTCCTTCAGATAAAAAATCAGTAACTAAATGGTTAATGATCAATACATGTGCAAATAAGCTCTGCAAAACACACAGACGTACATAAACTTTACAACAAGGTTCCAACTAAAACTGTCTCATCTTAAGCATTACATCTAGCATCTCAGTTCCACAAAGATAAAACAGTAAAAAAAAACTATGTAAACTGAACTTGCGTATTCAATAAAATAAACCTACAGAATCTACCAAAACCAAGGCAATTTTTGATGTTTCCAACACCAAAAAAAATGCAAATCTATTGGTTACCATGCTAACTCAGAATACTAGGATCGTGATTTATCTACCATGAAAAACATTGAGCATTGACCGTTCTTTGCAGGAGATAAATCAATAATAAGTGAATTTTCATATCATAACTAATAAGTCCAAAGTTACCTGTCTCTGCGCAATATATTGTTTACCAAAATCAACATCTTCTAAAAGTTTCTGTTTCAAATCTGCCTTAGCCTCTTTCTGCCACTTTTTCCAGCCATGGCGTAGATGGAGCTGGATAGCTTTCGGAACAACCACCTCCTTCTCGCCAAACATCCATTTCACCTCAGCTTCAGGAAAGCCCTTGACAGCTTCCCCTTCTGGAGTTTTTAGAACAAAAAGCTTTTCTTCACCAAACTTTTTCATACGTCTTCTGATACGATCCTGAAGATCTTTCTGCATCTTTTTTGATTCCTCAAGGCGTTTTTTGATGCGTAGAGAAAAATCCACTGAATCACGATCGAACAAGGGATCAACCTCCTCTAGTTCCAAAACATTAGGCAGTATCATATGTTCCAAGTGCTTCCTTTGAGCATTCACTAATTCCTGCTTAATCTCAGACCTCGGGAGTTTCGTAACAGAGCTTTCAGGAATACTACAACCAAAAAATCAATTAACCATGTAAGTGAAACATGAAACATTCTTGTCAGCGGGAAAAACAGAAAGCATATACTTGATAAAGACATATAGAAAAGCCAACAAAAGATATATTTAAACTAAGTGTAAGAGTATAAACAAGATAAACTGGTAATCTAAAAGTGCCTATTACCATCACCATCAGAAGCGCACGCAATAAGATATATCTCAGTTAAAGGTAAGGCAGAATAATGACATTTCACCTCTCAAAACTCTTTTGCTTCATTTCTCGGTTGAAGCTCTTAACCAACTCTATACACTCTCTTTCAATGAAAATTAGCTCCCTAACCCCAAAACTCAACGTTGTTGTCTCTTTCTTCAAAACGGTATCATCAATCTCATCAATTCTTTCCCATATCTTGTTGTACTCGCTCTCCCTTGTATCCACTCTCTCCTCCAATTTCTCCACTTTCTCCTTGTCACCTATGCTCAACAGTTTTTCGATATCTTTCTTCAATCTTAGGGCCTCATCTACAATTCCATCGGCTCGTTTCATCAATACATCTCTCTCTTTCTTGAACATCTTCATATCATTATATAACCCATCCATTATCTCTTTCTGCAGTTTCTCCTTCTTCACCTTTACTGCATCCAAAGCCGTTCCCACTTGAGCAACATCTCCATTTTCCTTCCTAACCTTCTCAACACTCTTCAATAGAACCGAGACTGTCTCCAACAATCTCCGAGTATAATCCGAGAACTCATGATCAATTGATTTCAAAACCAA